TCTCTCTCTCTCTCTCAGACATCGACATCTCTCTCTCCCTCGCGACGTCTCTCTCTCGCGACATCTCTCTCTCGCGCGCCCAACCCTATGGAACTCTCTCTCGTCAATTCCGGTACGTATTTTTTCAGTTTTTATCAAATTTTTCTTTTATTTAATTTTTATCTTTTTGAGCCTTTGATATTCTTGGAGTAAGATTTGATTGTGTTATGTGAATTCATGTAATTTTGCTAGTTTTGATGGAATTGGAGATGATAAATTGGTGCACTCTATGTGTTTGATGAAATGCTTGTAGGTTTGAGTTAATGAAATGAAGATAGTAATTGGTTGCACTCTATGTGCTTGATGAAATGTTTGATATGCTACTTGTTGTAACATGGAAGCAATGAAGCTATCTTCGTTATATATTACATTTGAATGAATACACACTCGTTATTATGAGAAAAGGATAGTTATTTCTTTTTACAAATTGATAGAATCCATTAAAAATGACTTAAATTATGACTATAACGAGTAATATATCGTTAGAATGTATCAAATAGCGAAGGTATAGGTGTATTCAATGGACGGTGATGGAAATATAACCATAAAGAATGTGCATTCGTTATGTTGAAAATCATAACGACTGTACTCTCGTTATGGTTATTTTGATTGAATGGCATGTTAACGGTTCTATCTTCGTTATATATGACATTATGACGATAGTTTAAACTCGTTATAGTCTCGAAATACTCATAATGAATGTACTCTCGTTTATGTAAATTCCTTCAAGGACTTGAATAACGTAAAAGTAAACTTTTGGTTGCAACCGTTTTAGTGCAGTTCATTTCCTATGTCCTAAAGTCCTTCAGTTTAATAGCATGCTTTAAGGTTGTTAAGTTCAAAGAATAAAAGAAGCTTGATATAGAATGAAGAATCATTTTATTAGTATCCTTTAAAAATGAGTTAACTTATAACTTTAATGAGTAAAATCGATATAGAATGAAGAATCATTTTATTAGTATCCTTTAGAAATAAGTTAACTTATAACTTTAATGAGTAAAATATCGTCATAATGTATTATATTGTGAATGTATAGGTGTATTTAATTGACAGAGATGAAAATATAACTATAATGAAGATTCATGTGTTATGGTGTATGAAATAACGAATGTACATTCTTATGTATTAAATTAAAACCAATAACGAGAGTACTTTACAACAATTGTTATAGTAATTCTAATTTAAGCTCCTTGTTTGATCTATTTAAGTTCAGTGTTAGTACTTATTGCTTGTTTGATCTATTTTGACTTATGTTGTCTTTCTTTTCTATTTTTAGGAACCAAAATGGAATATGCGTTCGATATATCTTCCAAATACAAAGCAGTCGTGACCAATCGGTGCAACCTCAAAGTTGTCAGTGAAGTATTTGACAACCTAGATGATGCACATAAAGATCGATTTGTAGAGTCTTGATTCCAACCACTAGTAAATATTCCCGAGCTCATATTATCCTCGCAAATAGTCCATCAAGTACTTTGTAGGACATTGAAAGCGTCTGAAAATGACAAAGACGATGTGTGGTTCAGATTTGGGGAAAACGAAGCTAGATTCGGGTTACAAGAGTTTTGTCTTGTAACCGGATTTAAGATTGCGGCGGATGATGAAAATGCGTACGAGGTCCCAAAAAATAACAGTTCGCTTTTGCAACTGTTCAAGGAGAAGCGGGGGAACATCAAAACGTAGTGACTTACTCGCGAAATTTCATAAGCTGGATAAGGTGAAAGACGCGAAGACGAAGTACAAATTGGGACTTGTGACGGTCTTGGAACATGTTGTTTTGTCTGCAGAGTGCGAGACTCTTGCAGATGAAAAATGGTTTGATTTTGTTGAAGATTTAGAATAATTCAACAGTTATCCTTGGGGCAACCTGTCATATCAGCAGACTGTAAAGTTATTCAAGAAGACCTCTTTCGGGAAGGCAAAAAATCCAAAGTATCCAAAGTCCATAAAGTATTCTTTGCATGGATTTCCTCTGGCTATTATGGTACTTTTCAACTAAATCTATATTTTTGTTCTTTATTATTAATTTGTGTTAGTTGTGTTTTTAATTACTCTCTTAATTGCTAAACAGATTTGGGCATTTGAGGCGCTACCCGACTTAGGAAGAGAATTTGCTGGAAAAAAATTGGTGTCCCAATTCCGAAAATGTATTGTTGGAAAATGCATAAACAGTTGCGAGGCGAGCATCTTTATACTTTTTTCGACTGGGCGGAGGTAATGTTGGTTATAGATTATTTTTCTTATTTATTGTTATACTTATACTTTAAAAAAAAAAACTAATTACATTACAATCAGATTGAAGTTCGACGAACGTTGGAACCCTGTCCATATGAAGTTATGTCTTCATATTTGAACGAATTGAGTATAGTTGCCCATCAAGAAGATAGTGTCCATCAAGATGAGGATGAAGAAGGCACTGCAACCAAAGTTGAGGAAAAAGGCAGTGCATCTTCTAAAACTGATGATGATGATGATGTGGATGATGAGGAAGAAGAAGAAGAAGAAG